AATTTCCCACCCCAGGACTGGGTTTTTCCTTGGATTCCCACCCCAGGATTGGGTTTTTCCTTGGATTATCCATCCCAGGATTGGGTTTTTCCTTAGAATCCCCAAAATCTGCTCTGTTGACCCCAATGAACCCCAAAATATCCCATCCCAGGATTGGATTTTTCCTTGGAAACCCCCCCAGTCTGCCACTGAACCCCAAAATTTCCCATCCCAGGATTGAGTTTTTCCTTGGAAAGCCACTGAACCCTTTTTCCTCCCAGGACTGGGTTTTTCCTTGGAATCCCCAAAATCTGCTCTGTTGACCCCACTGAACCCCAAAATTTCCCATCCCAGGACTGGCTTTTTCCTTGGAAACCCCCCAGTCTGCCACCAAACCCCCAAATTTTCCCTCCCAGGACTGAGGTTTTCATTGGAAAAGTCCTAATCTGCTCTGTTGACCTCACTGAATCCCAAAATATCCCAGCCCAGTATTGGGTTTTTCCTTGGATTCCCCTCCCAGGATTGGATTTTTCCTTGGAAAAGCCACAGTCTGCTCTGTTGACCCCACAGAACCCCAAAGTATCCCATCCCAGGACTCAGTTTTTCACTGAAAACACCCCAATCTCCCACTGAACCCCAAAATTTCCCCTCCCAGGCTTGGGTTTTTCCTCGGACTCCCCTCCCAAGCTTGGGTTTTTCCTCGGATTCCCCTCCCAAGCTTGGCTTTTTCCTCGGATTCCCATCCCAGGCTTGGCTTTTTCCTCGGATTCCCATCCCAGGCTTGGCTTTTTCCCTTGGAAACGCCCCAACCTGCTCCGTTGACCCCCCCAGAGCTCCCAAATTTCCCCTTCCAGGAGCAGCTCCGAGACCAAGGCCCTGTTTGAGAGGCACAGGCCCACCCACGTCATCCACTTGGCCGCCATGGTCGGGGGCCTCTTCAAGAACATCCGCTCCAACCTGGATTTCTGGGTGAGCACACGGAAAACCGGCACCGTCGGGATCCCTGGGATGGGGGATATGGGGACACAGGGACAGGGGGCTCGTTCTGCTTCCAGAGCCAAGAGCTCTGGTGGCTCCAGGAGTTATTAACGAGCCATCGCTCACCGGGCGACGAACTTGGGGAATCTCCATCCCACGATCCCGACAAATCTCTCCTTTCCCCAGAGGACAAACATCCACATCAACGACAACGTCCTGCACTCGGCCCACGAGATGGGGGTGGAGAAGGTGGTCTCCTGCCTCTCCACCTGCATCTTCCCAGACAAGACCACGTATCCCATCAACGAGACCATGGTGAGCGCTCCCGTCCCCGCACGACATTCCAGGGAACGTCCCTTCCCCGCTTAACGCTCCGCTCCCGTATTCCCAGATCCACAACGGGCCCCCTCACAGCTCCAACTTCGGCTACTCCTACGCCAAGAGGATGATTGACATCCAGAACAGGTGAGGGAGGGACACGCAGGAGCCTCTTCCCAGGGTGGAAGCACCCCTCGGTTATCAAGGCAACGGGAATCCCGTGGGATTCCCGGGATTTAAACGGCGCCGGGGTGGAAGCTGGGGAGAGATACCTGGGATCAGTGCTGCTGGCTGGGGTCTTGTGAGGCCATTCCAGTGGCTGATATCCCATCCCTGCCCCCATCCAGGGGTTATTCCGAGCAGCACGGCCGGCGCTTCACCGCCGTCATTCCCACCAACGTCTTCGGGCCGCACGACAACTTCAACATCGAGGACGGCCACGTCCTGCCGGGGCTCATCCACAAGGTCCACCTGGCCAAACGTGAGGGTGGCAGGACTCCTGGGGGGGAGGGTTATTTGGGAAGGGGGAGGGGTTGGGAGAGGTTTCCCAACTCTCCACCTGCTCCGTGAGGTGGTGACGGCCGCGCTCCTTCCTCCCGCAGAGTCTGGCTCCGCTCTGACTGTGTGGGGAACGGGAAAGCCCAGGAGGCAGTTCATCTACTCCCTGGTGAGTGGGGCCTTGGGAAGCAGGGAATGGGGCTGGAAAGGCTGGAATGGGACCTCAGAGGGGTCTGAGCCCACCTGGCTTGTCCTGGGCCATCCTCAGGGTTCGGTTCCCTGGGGATGGGAAGGCAAAGCCAGGAGACAGTTCATCTACTATTCCCTGGTTTGGGAAGCAGGGAATGGGGCTGGAAGGGCAAAGCCAGGAGACAATTC